AACCGTGATTAGCTGACCTTCTCTGCAGGCAGGCAGTGGGGAAATACAGAGCCTTTCCCCTCTCTGAATCCAGCCCATGTCACCAGTACACAGTGGCCAGTGTGAAATCTGTCGCGGGGTCTCATTGGAGCTGGGATGTGAATAACTTAAACAATTTACCATCAGTTTTGGGTCCTGATGTTTTCTTGGCAAGAAACCAGGGATTGCTGTCTAGGAACCCAGTTCCCCTCTTCTCTCCAAGAAATACAGAGCCTTTCCCCTCTCTGAATCCAGCCCATGTCACCAGTACACAGTGGCCAGTGTGAAATCTGTCGCGGGGTCTCATTGGAGCTGGGATGTGAATAACTTAAACAATTTACCATCAGTTTTGGGTCCTGATGTTTTCTTGGCAAGAAACCAGGGATTGCTGTCTAGGAACCCAGTTCCCCTCTTCTCTCCAAAACTGGCCCCCCCATTGTGGGGAGGTGTGTTGGGGGGCAAGGTGTGAGGGAAGCTTGTACAGCGGGCTGAGGCCAGGTCTGTTAAGGGCTTCAGCTCATGGGCACTAGCACTGTGGGTGTGGGGGGAGCATCACATTTTACTGGCCATAAGGGTGAGCAACAGGGAGGATGGGGAAAGAGAGGAGTGAGCAGAGCGCAGGGCGTCAGGGAGAAGGGGTGTTACGGAGGCGGGGCCTCAGGGAGAAGCGGTGGGGTGGGGGCAGAATTATGTCCTGTAGAAACTAACTAACTAACTGGGGAAGCAGCGAGGGTAAAGGCTTTCAGGCCAGATATTTATCCCATGCCCATCATCATGGTATTTGAGCACTTAGTTGCTGGAGAAAGGCGGATGGGAGGAGGAGGTGGGCAGCTAGGGCCCTTTCAAAAGTGCTGGATTTTGGGACAAATGGCCTCTTCCATTTCACATGTTCTTGGGCAGACGTCTCTGTGCTCCCAGCTGCAGCCAGAGCGATGTTCAAACTGACAGCCCGTCCCCAAGAGCCAGCTCATGCTTTGTGTCTGTATCCCAGGTACCGAGAGTTCTGGGCAGATGGGCACCCTGAGCAAGGACCTGCTGCCTCGTCAGGAAGCTCGGCTTAAGGCAGGTCTGGAGACAGCTGTGAAACACAAGGACAAGTTGCTGGAATTTGACAGAACGAGGTACGGTGCCAGCTGGAATAGCCTGATCCAGCAGATCGGAACCCCTTTTGGTTTCAGTCATGTCGGCCTTCCCTCCCTGCCAAAACCTGCCTGCTCCGCAAGTCTGCGAAACCAGACTCTGTGGGCGGGTTCCCAACATGGGGACAATGTCACCAGAAGGGAGTGGTCCAGTCAGTGGTCAGGCACCTCCTGCCCCTGCTCTGGATGGAGGCCCTGGAGTGGGGAAGCCGAGTGTAGTCTGTAACTCATCCAGTCCGAGCCTCTGGGGTATTTTCCAGCAAGCGTGCCCCTCGGAGCTGAGAGTGACACTGAGCACAGTGGTATGGTTTGTCCTGGCCACTACCCAGCCGGTGGGCAGCCACTCCAGGGTGGTTGCTGCTGAGAATGGTATTTCTGCTGGATGGCGTGGTTGCCATGTGGCTGTCAGACATGCAATTGGTAGGCAAGTGTCACCTCAGCTGCCTGAATCAGTCACATGAAACGCGCCCAGATTTCCTGGCTTTCACAGGAGTTTCTCTTGGGCCCATTGATGGTTTTGTTGGTCAAATGAAACCTATCCAGTGCCTGCTGCTTGTCAGTCATAATGTCCAGCACTAGCCCCTGTGCTGGGGGAAGACTTCGCAGCTCGGTGGGCTGGGCACTCGCTTCACCTACGGGAAACCCAAGTTCAAGTCTCTGTTCTGATGACTTTTGAATTATTTCCGGGAGAGCTCGTGAGAGACCAGCCCCACACTCTCCCATCGCATGCGTCAGGTTCGCAGAGGGTGTTGGGTTGCCGGAGACTGCGTGCTGCCGTGAATAAACTCCTTACTAGCGTTGCCTCCAGATGCGCTCAGGCGCTGGGTGGAAGAAGTCTCGCCCGCAGTGAATTGTTCAAGCACTGTGTAGAGGCCGGGGGCCAACCCAGGGGTCTGGCAGAGCTGTGCTGGAGCCTAATTCCATGCAAGGTTTGGCAGTACTTTGGCCTCAGTGCTCTCAGTCCTGGGGGCGGGGGCGGGAGGGGGGTGTCGGTCCCCTTCAGCCAGAATAAGGGGGCACCCTCTGTCAGGGACAAACCACAGGGCCATGTCGCTGCAGCAGTGTGCAGTCCATGAGAGCAATGCAGTCTCTGCCTGACTGATTTGCTACAGAGCCCGTGGAGGCTACAGGTTCTAACAGGTGGTTCTGTGGCCTGTAGTCTCCACAGGCTTCCCCTCTGTGCTTGTGAGGGGAGTGGTGGTGCTTTGGCGCTTTTGTCCCCTCGAGTTCCAACGGGTTGTCAACATGGCCTGAAATCAGGCACAATGTCATGCCTCTGGCTCACTGTTGCTGACATGCCATGTTCTCCAGAGATCCCGCCCGGGAGTCGTGGCAGCAGAGGGTGCGGGGCTGCGTGACTGACATGATGTCCCCAGGTGCGCCTGGGGCTGTTTGCTGCCGTACCTGGTGCCAACCCGCTGTCTCTTGCCAGCATCCGCCGTACCCAGGTCATTGATGACGAGTCGGATTACTTTGCGACAGACTCCAACCAGACATGCCATGTTCTCCAGAGATCCCGCCCGGGAGTCGTGGCAGCAGAGGGTGCGGGGCTGCGTGACTGACATGATGTCCCCAGGTGCGCCTGGGGCTGTTTGCTGCCGTACCTGGTGCCAACCCGCTGTCTCTTGCCAGCATCCGCCGTACCCAGGTCATTGATGACGAGTCGGATTACTTTGCGACAGACTCCAACCAGTGGCTGTCCAAGCAAGAGCGTGCGGTGCTGCAGAAGAGAGAGGAGGAGCTGCGGGAGCTGCGCCATGCTTCTCGACTGGCCAGAAAAATCACCATTGACTTTGCTGGCAGGCTGATCCTGGAGGAGCAGGACAGCATGGCTGAGTATCACAGCAAGTGAGTAGGTGGCAGCCGGCACCAAGCTCGCAGGGAACTCTCCGGGGGTAGGGGGAGGAGAAACACTCTCTGTGCTTGTTAGCCAGGCAGCTGAGCTACCGCCAACAGCAACAGATGACAAGCTGTGCCGCTCGTTCTCCTGAGGGGCGGCCCTGCTGCTCGGTTAGAATGTTCTGTGCTTCTCCCAGGATCTCGCTGTTCAGGACAAACAGGCTCCTGAGCTCTTAGCGACCAATTTGCTCCTGCTACTTGTTTCCCCATATGCGACCTCATCCCTCTGTGCGTGGTGCTGCAAAAAGCTGCCCTAGCCATGACCGTGCATGTTGGGGTATGGGCTTCAGGAGGGGCAGAAATTTGTGTGCATGCAAATCTGCCTAGTGACAAAGAAGAGGCAAAAAGGAAGCAGCAATATAACAACTATGTGTCCGCTAGAGATTTGCGTCCCTGGGCATCTTCTGGATTCCCTGTAATGGGATCACTTTCCCCACAAATGAAATGCAGTGTCCTCTGGGGTGGAACATAGCAGCCCTTCAATGTGTGCTGCCCTGACCCCCAGCTGTTAGGAGAGGAAGTGAAGAATACCACATTCCCACTGGAGCTGCCCACATTGGGGTTTGGCCAAACCACTGTGACTCAGGAGGCTGGTCTGGTGGCTTGGACACAAGCCTGGGACTGTTTAAGGCTCTGCTTCGCAACAGACTTCTTGTGTGACCTTGGGCAAGTTACTTAGCGTGCCCATGCCTCAGTTTCTCATTTGTAAAATGAGGATGTGCCATCATCCCCATCTCTCAGGGCTGTTGAAGACTCTGAAACTCAGATACTATGGGGTGCAAAACTAAGTTATCTTTAAGCTGCACGGCTGCGCAACTGCGTAGCTATTTTCTGAGCCCCACTCAGGTTCAAAGCTCCTGCACAGGCAGGGAGCTCAGCTGATCAGCAGGGGGCGAGGCAGTAAACTGAAGAGCTCCCAGAGCAGATAAGTAGGGAATAAGTGGCTGGGGGGAGGGAATGAGAGAGTAATTAATTGGCTTTGGGGGAAGTCAGAGGGGAGTTTGGAGAATCCTGTCTGCATGGGAGTTGGGGGGAAAGAGAGAGAGAGACACACACACACACACTCTCTCTCTCTCTCTCACCCACCCTCCTAGGCTGGGAAGGTAAGGGGCTGACTGCGTGGGTTGGGGAGAGAAAGGGGTGGGTGGGTGCTGGCATCTGTGTAGTGAGGTGGAGTCAGGAGGCAGTTTGGGGTGTCCTGACTCACTTTCTGCAGTCCTTTCTGGCTGGCTGGCTTGGGGGTGGGGGAGGAGCAGTCTTAATGGGGTGTGTGTGTGCTAGGAGGACATTTGCACAATGACATTTCAAACAAAGCTTACATAGGTGTTAATGGCTTAAGGTAAGAAAGGAAAAGATTCTTATAACTGTTTTTTTTTTTTGGAGTGTTGCAGATATCTAAAACTCTGAACTTAATGATTTTTTTAAAATCCTGTGTTACTGATTAATACATGGTATATTGTATTGCATTAAGGCCAGATCTTTGCTATGTGGTAGAGTTCTGGCTCTTATGAGTCAGAAGTAGCAAGTACTAGGTGTGATGTTAGTTTTGTAGGGTGAAACCTCGTTTGCAAGCTCTTTAAAACATGCATCTGTCTACAAACCCTGAAGCCAGGGGTTAATTTGCTCTGGGGCTTCTTCTCTTCCTCCAGTGGAAGAAGGCTAATTCCCTACCTTTGTACAGCACCTTTATAGTCACTATGGGTACCTCACAGCAATTAAACACAGGTGTCTTGTTCTATTGCGTTTTCTTCCACACATATGGGCTGCTTAAAAAACTCAATATATATAACGTGTGTGTGTGTTTTGTTTGTATTGGTGGTGCACATTTACACACTACCTCAATATTGGTGTTGCACATAAGAAATTTCAACCTGCCCAAAAGAAAATTCAACCTACTCAAGGATAGAAAATGTTTGAGGGACACTGGTGCCGGCTCAATACCTGTCACAGAGAAAACCTCTATCCAGTGTCCTGGGACCATCATTGCCGGGGGTGGCCTGGGCACCAGTGCTGCTGTGCAGGGCCATGCTCTGAGGACTGACTGACCCTGCTGAGTTGCACTCCTGACTTACAGGCAGAACTGTCCCTAACCGGCACGTTTGTTAGTGTTCTGGATCGGTAGTTGGCTGGGACAGTGCTGGGCAGAGCAGCTGCATGGCTGGAGCAGTCATGCTTCTGGGAGAGGGGCAGTAGTAACGTGTTTGTGTGGCCTTGCAGGCTGGACGAAACAATCGATGCCATTACCTGCGGTGTGTTGAGCAAGCCATCGAGGAGTCCAGAGGGGAAAGTTGAAGAGAGCTCCGGGCTTCTGGTGAATCCCCATCTCCTGCAGCCTGCCCCCTTGGTCAGTGCCAATTTCTGAGTCATCCCTGAACAGTGGGCCCCAGTGTTGTAACTGCCCATGTATTGATGGCCTCTCTTAGTGACAGATGGCAGAACAAGGAGCAATGGTCTCAAGTTGTGGTGGGAGAGGTCCAGGTTGGATATTAGGAAAAACTATTTCACTAGGAGAGTGGGGAAGCACTGGAATGGGTTACCTAGGGAAGTAGTGGAGTCTCCATCCCTAGAGGTGTTTAAGTCTCGGTTTGACAAAGCCCTGGCCGGGTTGATTTAGGTGGGATTGGTCCTGCCTAGAGCAGGGGGCTGGACTTGATGACCTTCTGAGGTCTCTTCCAGTTCTATGGTTTTATGATTCTATGATTCCCTGCCCCCCCAGCTACCTCAGCGAGACTTAGGAGCATCTGAGTTACAGATGGACGGGGCCAGCTAGGTGTGCTAGTCCAGCCCAAACTCTTGGCCTGGCCAGGATTTTGTCGCTCTGCTTATTTAACCCCAAGCAGTGGGTTTCCAGCCCCTTCCCCGGCCTAATGCTTCTTGCCTTGGAAATGTTTCCCAAGATTCAGTCTACAGGTGTTTCCTTTCTTAAATTCCATTGATAGGACTCCACCTGCCAGATTTCAGTTGTGCCCCCTTGGTGATGCTCTCCACTTGCTAGGATCCTTTCTAGTCTGTCTTTGACACATGCGCACCATGTGTTTGTGCTCACGCTTGGGAGAATTAACCTACGCTTCTACGTTTGGGTCGGACATGCCAGGCCCTGAACGTTAAACCGGTCCCTGTCTGCACCCCCACTTGGTCTTTTTTCTGTAGCCAGTAATTTTTTGAGAGTTGTGGGATCTCCTGAGCTGCAGCTGGTTGGTTTTTCTCATCCCCTGGAGAGGAAAAGGCTTGTGATAAGTGTCCCTGCAAACTGCTTGTGCCCCCCCTGTGGCTGCACCAGATGGCTGGCTCTGAAGGCCAATAGCCCATCTTGCAATCCACGCTGAAGGGGCAGGTGCAGCATCAGCTGATTGCACAATTCTTTGGCCTCCCTTAAACTCTTCCCAGTTCCAGTTCTGCCAGCTGGGTGTGATTAGCTGTGAGCCGTATGAACGTGCTGTCAAGGCTTTGGAACATGTCGGCTAGTAGTTCTACCCCAATGTTACCATTTAGCTTAAAGGCAGCGAGCGTGAGGGTTATGGGGGTGGGTTGCAGCTCCCCGTGCTTTGCCTGCTGCCCAGGCTTTGGCTGGCCATGCGCCATGAGAGGAGTAGTCTGCACTGCTTTATATGGTCAGCTCGTGGTCTTTTGGGAGGCATGACATCGGTGGCCACCTGGCCCAGGTCCCTGCTGCACTGGCACCATTCTAGGTTAGATTCCCTCCCCCCCTTCTCACCCCCTAGTTTGCGTTTAGCTTCCCCAGCACTGGGGATGGGTCGGGATCCGGCGGGCAGGGGGCTTGGCTGGGATGGAGCAGGCCTCTGTCCACAGATTGGCTGGGTGGACTCAGTTAGGCTGCTCCAGCCAGGCCGGGCCCACCACACCGTGCCGCAGGCAGGGAGCTGTTCCAGGCTGAAGCAGTACCCTGCCCATGGCGGGCGGGAGCTGCTCCAGCTTGGTCGGGCTGCTAGTTAACCACTTACCCAGTAATGGTGATGCTTACCAGGTAACTGGTTAACCCTTTACATCCCTGCCCAGCACTAGCCCTAGAATGGTAAGAGCAGAGGTGAGATCCAGGGGACAGATCCGGTCCAGCAGAGGGCTAGGCCGTGATGCCTTCTGCACTGTTGTTCTAAAGGAAAGGAAGAGCTTTAAATGCCTTGTCTGGGAAGGAGAGTTAATCTGCTCTATGTTTGTTTTGAACATGCCGAAGTGGGTAGACCAGACCGGCTCGCTCCTGCACAGAAAACCTGCCCATCCCGCAGAAACTGGGCAGGAGTCTGCCTCTGAAAGGAGCAGGCTACGGATCCAGGATCGAGAATTACAGGAGATCTCCGATGACGGCTGGTGTCTCAGCATGCACCAGCCTTGGGCTTCCTTGCTGGTGAAAGGAATCAAAAGGTAAAAAAAAAACCCCAAACCTGCAACTGCCTGGACAACACATGGTTATCCCAAGAGCTGTGAAATGCACCTCCCCCATCAGCTGCAATGAGAACAGTTCCCAGACACACACAGGAAGGCCAAGGGAAAGGGTGCGCCACTGCCGCCTTCTGAGAATCCAGCGGCCTTGCACCGCTGGTCTGGCGCGTGCTGCGGCCTTCAGTGGCTCGAAGCTATTGCCCAGCACAGCCCTGGTGCCGCCTCCTCGCTCTGATCGCACACGCAGCCAGCTTCCCTGCAGGAAACGGGGGGGAGTGTCTGAACAGGAAGCCGCACTTCAGCCGAGCACGCTGTCGGGTTCGGCGCTTGGCGGCTGGGGGAAGCAGCTGCTTTGCGATTATCGAGCCAAGGCCTGAAAATGCTCCAGGATTTTGCTGGTTTTGCACAGACGCCGTGGTAGATAACCTGCAGCGCCTCGGTGCTCCGCGCCTAGGAGACGGGTTCCTCGAGACACATTCCCATCCAAGCACCCCCTTTCCGAGGCATATCTGCTTCCGTCTCCCAATGGATTTGGGGTGGGGCGTCTTGGGAAATCCTCGAATTTCTGTAGATTTTTCCCCCCTCTTCTGCAGTGTCTGAGGAAGTGACTTTTAAGTCAGACTCCTTAGTAACACAGGCAACTGCCTTGATTTCTGTTCTCTCCAGGGTGGAAGGCAGGACCTGGTACACATCCCACAGAGGGCGGCTGTGGATAGCAGCTACTGCTAAGAGACCGTCCTCCCAGGAAATTTCTGAGCTAGAGGCCTCCTACCGAATGCTGCTCCGGGCAGGTGAGCCTTCCTGTTGGCTCTAGTCTTGGCACCGTGAGCCATGTCGTGAGCACAGGCAGGAAGCTGGCACTGCCAGGCAGTTATTGCTGCATCTCTCATTAACATTCCTTTCTCCTTTTGGCTCCCTCCTCCTTTCTGCATTTCTTCCGCCAGAACAGTATTCCAGAGCTCGGCCCTGCGCCCGAGGCTAGTCAGGCTGAGCGCACCCCTGAACTGCATCTTACTTGGGCAGTGCCTCCGGGCACTTGTTCCCTTGCTAGTGAATGTAAGAAGGAGCGGGTGCCACCCGGAGGCTAGGAATCAGGCGCTGCAGGTTAGCTGCAGATCTCCCTCTCTCCTGAGACTAGGTGAGCCTGAGGCATTGACGTGATCCCGGCTGCATGGCCAAGGAGCTGTCACCCGCTGGGGCAGCACTTCTGGACACTCATCCACACGTGATGCCTAGCGGTTGCCTCCACCCTTGGCAGAGCTGTGGAGCCCCCTGAGATTTGGGGAGCTCACTCCTGGTGTGGGACGGCAGCCTTAGGCTTCGGTGCGTCTCTGGGTGGGGCTTCTCAGGGAGCTGCCCAGCCGACGCTCCGAAGCCTGAGGCTGTCATCCCTCACCAGCAGTGAGCGCCCCAAATCTCAGGCCAGCCTGGTGCTTTGTCAATGTTTGCTTTTAAGGCAGTGTGGCCCACTGGCTGGAGCACTGGACTGGCACTCAGGAGACCTGGGGTGTAGTCCTGGCTCTAATAGAAGTCACTCACCTGCTCCATGCCTCAGTTTCCCCACCTGTAAAATGGGGGTAGTGACACTGAGCTGCTTTGTAAGGCGCTTTGAGATCTGCAAATGGAAGGTGCTATCCAAGAGCTCCAGCCTGTTTCTGTTAAGGTCACTTGGGCTCACTTGGCCTCAGTAGACAGTTGCCCTTTTTCCAAGGGGATCTAAAACACTGTCGTATGAGGGCTGGCAGTTTCTGCCAAAGGGCTGGCTCCGGATCGGAGTGAAGGGGCTGTTGCACTAGCGGAGTGTATTGGGTCCATTCTACCAGAGGTGTAGCAGGGCAGCACGGAGAATCTGCACTGGCAGAGCCAGGCGGGGTCTTTGTCCTTCTCACCGTATGTCAGGCTCCGAGATCCCGGTCCCTGAGCAGCGCATTGCGTGTCCCCACCTACTGTTGGGAGCACAGAAAAGAAACCCGGCGTTTTCTTGTGCCTCAAGGAGTCTGAGCAGGGTGGTTCCCACTGGGGGCTTACTGAGAAATGGCAGAATCCCAGTGTGTGTGCTCAGCCCTTTTCCGTCTCTCGGTGCAGATGTGGAATTTCCCCGAGATTACCCTTCTGGGTGCCTCCTGGGCTGCGTGGACTTGGCGGACTGCCTGTCACAAGAGCAGTTCAAGGAGCAGGTGAGTGAGGAAGCCAGCTGACTTTTTAACGGTCTACCCACCGATCGGCAAACTTGCCTGCCTCCTGTCAGCGCATTGATCCACGGGAACAGAGGTGACTGGAGAAGGAGGCAGGTGGGGGGGCCACCGGCCACATGACTCCCCCCAGCCCAGGGAAGGGCCGGGGCAACCCCACTCACCCCAGGCTCCACCTTTCCTCACCCCTGTTCTACCCTCTCCGCCCCTGCCCCATCTCTTCCCCCTCCCCCGAGCAGTGTTGCCTGGGGGACTGGTGGGGTCTGCCCCCACGCACAGCAGAGGGGACAATGGAGCAATGCGGACACAGCTTGCTCTGCTTCCCTGGCCGTGTTACCCCCCTGCCTGCAGATGGGGGGTGGTCCTGCCTCTTCCCCAAGTGACGCAGCCGGAGCAGCACAGCGAGCTGGGACTGCTGTTGCCAGTGAGTATGGAGGGGCTCCCCTGCTCTGGGCACCAGGCCCCCACCAGTCTTCCCACCAACCACTGGTCGGCTCCAAGCTCCATCCCCGCCCCTGCCCACAGTGCTTCGGCTGCACATGACCCCTTGTGACTGCCTCCCCCCCCACACACACACACGTGGCCTATGCATGGGAAAGTGAAGAGAAGGCTGAAGAGACGGTTTAAATTAAAACAAGGAGGCAGTGTATTGCAGTGTATTCCTGTGTGCACTCTGGGACAAGAACACGTCTCAGCCTACTCCTGTGTGCACTCTGGGACAAGAACACGTCTCAGCCACAGGTGCCCTGGGCCAGGAAGTGCTGGTAGAGACCAGACCAAACAGCGCCCCCTGCTGCTGGAGCATGATGGAGAGCTGGCGGGAGCCAGTCTGTCTGTTCTGGCCAGTTGGTGCTGCCAATGCAGGAAGGTGTTCTTGGCTCTCCTAGTCCAGGCGGGGCTCAGGTGGGTTAAAGCCGTGGTTGCCGCTTGCGGCTTTGTCCAGAACCGTGTACATTAAGAGCGAGGATCTTAAACTTCGCACCAACGTGACTCCTCGTTAAACACCATTTATTTCCCTGACTGGTCCCTGCTAGATGGAATTGGTGCGAACACTACCCAAGTTAAGCAGCCGTCACGGCCCGGCCCGATCCCTGGCTTAAGGCGATTATTGAGGGAGGGGTGACCAAGTGGCAGTCCCAGGGAGGAATGCTCTGCTCCAGCAGTGAGTTTCCTTTGGGCTGCGAAGAAGCAGCCGAGATGATTCCCCATGAGGAAGAGCCTCTCGCCCCCCAGCCCTGCGGATGTCTACCAAACCGTAGCCGGGAGGGGGGTGGTTGGGCCCAGAGATACCGGTGACCTACCATAAGGGATGGGTGTTTGCTTTTCTCTGTCATGTCGGCTTTGAGAGTTGGGACGGGCCTGTTAGGACCTGGACAGTGTAAGGGATGGGTGTTTGCTTTTCCCTGTCATGTCGGCTTCGAGAGTTGGGACGGGCCTGTTAGGACCTGGACAGTAGAGGGCGCCTGGGGACTGAGGTACCCGAAAGGCCACTTGAATGTCACAAACAAGCCTCCTGCTTAGAGAGAATCCGAGGAGGCGAGAAGGGAGTAGACCAATTAGATCATCACCTCCATCCCCTGGGGCCAGAGCACACTTGGCCCCTGCGCTGTGTTAGCCAATGCCTTGTGCAGTCTCGTTTTCCCTTTCCCAGCTGCCCACGGGAAACTTCCCCCAGCCTGATGAGTTGCACTGATGGGAAATACACCCTGCTCTCCGCTGAATCCCATCACTCCTGTGGAAACGCCCTGGAAAGTGGCTGTTGCCTGTGGGTGTACGGAGACAGTTGTCACGGCACGTCCCCAGTTTGTATGAGCACAAGCTGCATGCCATTAGCCTTCAATCTCGCCTCCAAGATCCAGCCCTTCACACTCTTAGTTCTGCTGCAGTCTCAGTCCCCGCCAGTTTGCTGAGGCTCCAGAGTGGAGCACACCACTCCCCGAGCAGTCTTGTCGGCCTTCTTTCCTCCCCTCTGTGCTTTGTGCAGCCCAAAACCACACGGCGCTTGGCTGTGACCACGCTGCATTGGGAATGTGCATGGTCTCTTCCAGCATTACTGCTGACCGGGAGTCTCTTTCCCGGCCCTAGCTGTGGGTTTGCTGTTTGTTGTTCCCTGTGTGTATTGGCTTAGAGCAGTGTTTCCCAATTTTATTTGGCTGAGGAACCCTTTTCAGCTTTTCAAAATTTCAAGGAACCCCTAGGTTTGTCGAGCCAAAAAAAAAGGGGTGGGGGGGTGGGGGAGGAGAAAGGGACCCACCAATTCATGAAATTCACATTCCTTCCCCAAGACCACCCCTCCATCTCCTTTCTGTGAGGCCTCATCTGCTCTGTTCCCCTCCTCTCCATCACTTGCTATCCCCAGCCCTTATACCTGTCTCAACCTAGTGAGAGTGAGGTGTGGTGTGGGAATGAGGGATTTGGGGGTGGGGAGGGGTGAGAAGTACAAGCTCTGGGAGGGAATTTGGATGCAGGAGAAGGGGCTGTTGACTCAGGGCATGGCAGCCTTCTGTGCACAGCTTCTGTAGGACAGCTACATGCACAGGAACCCCCTCCAGCTCTTTTGGACTAACATTCCTTCCTCAATGGTGTTACATTGCCTCCTCTCCAAGAGACCCTAAAATATAGATGGGGGGAGGTCAAGTGCTGCTTCATACTCAACCCCAAGGGATGCATCAGGAGCAAAAGACTGTCCTTCTCACATCTGTAATCATGCCCTCCTGAAGCTCAAGCCCTGAATTCCTTTTTTATCCCTGCTGTGTTCCCTAAATAGAAATGCATGATTTCTTAACAACAATCTCTTTATTACCTGTGTTGAAGGGGGAGGGGAGCTTACAGGCAAGCACATTTAATGCAAGAGCACCTCATTAAGAGTAACATGCATAATTCTCATATCACTGTCTGTCCATTCATAATGCTGTTTTTCAAAGCCTCTCTAATTTGCAGTGCCCCTCACTGTGTTCTCCTTCTTGCCCTGGTGACTGGCTGCTCATAATTACCAGCTAGGCTCTGAGTCTCAAACCTTCCCTCTCCCTGCCATATAACTTCCCCCTTACTATCACAGATATCACAGAGCACATATCAGGCTGCCACAATGATGGGAATGTTGTTTTCACTGAGGTCTAACCTACTCAGTAGTTTGCAAAACTGTACCTTTAAATGCCTAAAAGAACATTCTATCACCATTCTACACTTGCTCAGCTTGTAGCTGAACTACTCCTTACTGCAGTCCAGGCTGTGTCTGTATTGCTCCATGAGCCAAGGGAGCAAGGAGTAGCTGGGTATCCAAGAATCACTGTTGGCATTTCAACCCCCTTGATGTTAATTTTCCATTTTGGTAAGAAAGTTACAGCTTGCAATTTTTTGAAAATACAGGAGTTCCTAAAGATGTATGTCTCATGCACCTTTCTTTATCCTTCCACAGCGATATCAGTGAAACAGCCCGTGTGGGCCACCAGCGCCCGCATCATCATCGAGAAGAATCCCTTGCAGTTTATATACTCTTTGGCAAAGTGGTCAGATGCCAAGATGGGGATGTGTATTGCATCTATCACCTCACCACAGTTAGGGAACCCATCATGGCAAAGCCCTCTACTGTGGACTAAATATTCCCCATAGTCATTTCCCACTCCCCTCCCAGAATCACCCTGTCCCCCTCCCACTGACACCTCTCCTCCTGCCCTTTTCCTCATTGTCTGCGCTTGGCCCCTGCCATTTGTCTCTCCTCTACCCCTGTCCCTTTGGTGCCTTCCCCTCCGCCTCTGCATAAGCACCTTCCTCTCCCAGCCCTTCCCCTTTCCGTCTGCACAAGCCCCTTCCCTTCCCTTCCCCCTCCCCCTCTCTCACCTTCTGCCTTCCACTTTGTGGGGCCGGAGTCTGTGCTCTGTCTCCGGACTCCGAACCCGCAACTCAGCCATGCGGTGCAACACAGCGCCCAGCAAGTTTAAAATCCCGGGCTGTGACGTTCTGTCATGTCCGGGCGTCTCTCCACCCACTGGTTTGAGCCTGCGGCACAGGGCAGCAGCAGCCAGTGAAGGGGAGTTCAGGGAAGGTTGCGCACGGCAGGGACAGGTCCAGGGACGGGGGAGAGACGCTCTGGGGCCGGGCTGGGAGGACGTGTGTGTGTGGGGAGGGGGTCGGGACCAGCTCCAGCTCCAAATATTGCAGGAGCATAGGCACCACAAGCCCACTGACAGCCTCGGGGGTGCGATCACCCCCTCCCACCCGGGAGGGGGTTCAGCGAACCCTGTCGACAGCCCTCGGTCTGTTGGTCCCGGAGTTCAGTTGATATTGGCGTCTTTGGGCGCGATCACCCCGCTCGGCTGAGTCCGGGGGATCTGCGAACCCAGGGGTCACCTGTCCCCTTCTGCGGGGCTTCTCCCCACGGTCTCCGTTGGAGGTTCCCCCTCGCCGGCATTGGAGCAACTTTCACCCCTGACGATGGCAGGGAAGGAGGAGGGGGACCCGGGTCCACCCTCTCCACCGGGTCCCAGCCTGGGGCCCTAAGCACAGGGGTCCGCTTGCTCCCTGTGCGGTGGACGTGGGATGCCTTCCCGAAATGCGCCCGCTCTGGGCTGCTTCCTCCCCCCCGCGGACCCCGTTGTCCTGCCCGTGCATTGGAGCAACTTTCACCCCTGACGATGGCAGGGAAGGAGGAGGGGGACCCGGGTCCACCCTCTCCACCGGGTCCCAGCCTGGGGCCCTAAGCACAGGGGTCCGCTTGCTCCCTGTGCGGTGGACGTGGGATGCCTTCCCGAAATGCGCCCGCTCTGGGCTGCTTCCTCCCCCCCGCGGACCCCGTTGTCCTGCCCGTGGAGTCC